GCCCCGACGCCCGCAGGGTCCACGCAATGGCAGGCACCTTCTCGTGGGCTCTGTTTATCCCAAGGACCACCTTCAGTTCTATGTGCTTTGCTGGTTGCAGGAGAGTCCCTGATTAAAACCAGCGCCCTGTGTGTTGAAAGGCCACGGTAAGCATCTTCAGTGATGTCAGCGTCCCGGGGTCCATTCACACAGCGTTCAGCTCACTTGTTCTCTTTGCTGCTCCCAGCAACTCTGTGCTATTCTCTCTGCTCAGTTTACAGCAGCTCAGGGGGGTCATGTGACGTCCCAAACTGGGCATAGTACAACACTCAAGCAGAACCCGAAACCAGGTCTTGTGGTGACAAGTTTCGAAAGGTTTTTTCTCTTCACCTGTATTTCCAAGTAGCATTCCCTTAAACATGAATACAGAACTCAAGTGAGTTTTAGTCTAAAGTTGTTTGTTCGAGTTAAAAATCTGCCATGTCAGCCCATGTAGAAAACCCTGCACGACAAATTGGACCTAAGAACTCGAAAACGTATGTGTGTGCACACACGTGCCCACAAGTAGCACCCCACGGAAATCTGGAAGGCACGCTTCGCAAACCTGCTCTACACCACGTTCATTCGGGGAACTGGGAAGAATGGATCTGGTTTCCCTCGAACCGCAGGCACGCTTGGGACAAAGAAAACGAACAAAGGGAAAATGAGTCTAGTAATTCATTGTACAAAGAGCATCTTCACATCCAGGACTGTCTCCTGCACCCGGGGCCTCCCCGCAGTCTCTCGTGCCCTGGGAGGGATTGTGAATAAGGATGCCTGTGTCACTGCAGCTGTTGTCTTGATATATTATTTTCCGATACTTTCAGGTCTCGTGTCCAAGTTCTTTGATGTGAGTTATTTACATTTAAGAACAATGGGCCAAGATGAAAGACTAAAAAAGCCCTCTTGTGTGATTTCCCTGTTTGTGAAAAGTAATAATCTCATGCCTCCTGTGATACTGTTGTGAGTCAGCAGACATGAATATCTCCAGGGGACCCTTTGTTCTGCTATCTTCCACCGAGCGCAAATTGTCTCATCGGGGAGGGGGACATGACTCCAAATAAGTCATGTTAGTTTCTGTGGGTGTTCTCAGTTGTTTGGGGAAACTTGTACGAAGCCACGTTAACTATACTTTTAACGGACTAGAAATACAGACACCGTGGGGCGCCTGGGTGGCTCAGTCGGTTAAGCGTCCGACTTCAGCCCGGGTCACGATCTCACGGTCCAGGAGTTCGAGCCCCGCGTCAGGCTCTGGGCTGATGGCTCAGAGCCTGGAGCCTGCTTCCGATTCTGTGTTTCCCTCTCTCTCTTCCCCTCCCCCGTTCATGCTCTGTCTCTCTCTGTCTCAAAAATAAACGTTAAAAAAAAAATTAAAAAAAAAAAAAAAGAAATACAGACACTGTGATGAATTAAGAAGTGACATTACGGTAAGTTAGTCAAGGAGGACTCCTGTGAATGCGCATCCTGGCCAGACCTCGGGTTCCTCTTTGACAGAAACAGGTCAGGTCAGCCATGTGAGCCTGTGGGACGAGATCTCTGATACATGCTCTTTGTGGAATACCTTAGAACATTCTGAGTCTTGGATCCACCATCTACCGATGCAACACTGGTCCAGACACACCAATACTCAGAGCCTCCTCAACCTCAGTGGCGAGGTAAGGACGATGAGGTTTCTCCCGCCCACATCGTAGGTTTGTTCTGAGAAGGAAAGCTAAACGTGAGGTGCTGTGGAGTGAGAGACACTGAACATGGGGTGCTTGGGAGTGACAGACACTGAGCATGGGGTGCTCGGGAGCGACAGACACCTGTTCAGAGCCCTGCGGCTGCATCTGGAACTGGTGTACGTCACAGCTCCTTACTCATATACTTGTGCGTGTCTGTATCTCGATATTCATAGATACTTGTCGATATGTAGAACCCATCTCGATAGAGATATCCAGGCACAGAAGTGAAGATAGATGTAGGTATGGGTGGAGATAAGGGTCCTTTATATGTTCTGTGTAACTCTCTGTGTTTATAAATCATATACACACACACCTAAACACTGAAGGTCAGAGTCACTATTTAATAGCCTCCCGTATCTCAGAGAAGGCTTGTGGAGTTCACGAAACTCGCCAGTGTCCGACGCTAGAACTAAAACTAGTAGAGGAAAGTGGCGGACGTCACAGGCTGGTCAGCTGGCAGGATCCGAGTGTGGCCCTCGGGCTGACCGCAGTGACTGTGGGCAGGTTTCTCTGAGCCTCGGCTTCCTCGTGTGTAAAAGGAACTCGGTTTCAGTTCTGCTCTCGCGGGGTCTTTGTGGACAGCAGACGAGACGCAGTATAAAACATCCACTATGTCCTGTACCTCGAGCACTTGGCCACCACGGTCACGGATCCTGCGGACACAATTGTGCACCTGGCTCAGCGCCCTCCACAGTGGCCTGCGGGGACGTGGCGTCCCTCATGGGCCATAGGGTCTGTGGAGAGGTCAGCGGGGAGGTAGCCCACAGTTCGAGCGAGTGAGGACGGGACAGAAGGGGACCCCACCCGACACCTTCCCGGCACAAAGGGGTTTCTGGGAGTGAGGGCCAGCTCCTTCCCCCTGCCCCAGTTCGGGCTCTGTAGAGCCCCCAGCTGACAGGTGGCTCTGGGCAGCCGGGCGTCTCCTGGGAGGCTCGCTCCCAGTCCTTGTTCCCATGGGAAGGGCAGGCGCTGGCTCAAAATGGCTCAAGACACACATCAGCGCTGTCTCCCGATGTCAGGTGACATCGGGCAGTCGGGTGACATTGGCTTCTGCTCCTTTTCCAACCTGTGTCATCAGTGGAGGCTGTCCGGCTGTGCCCGAGCGCTCTGGGGAACACACAAAGGCCAGGAGGCTCATCAGAAGAATGGCGGATCATGAACATCGCTCACTTTATGCCATCCTTGAGTTAAAATGTTTGTAATCGTGAGCCTGTTCAAAAGCCTTTCCTCCGACAAGAGGCAAACTTCTCAGAGCTCTACACGGCTCTGGCCTCACCGATTAAACATGATCTCATGCAAGATAATACAGAAAACAGCATATACCTACGCTAAAGCCACGTGGGCAGAAACTATACCACAATACAAATCAATAAGTGAACTGGAGAAACTTCCAGAAAGGGACAGGTTGGCCGAGATTTTTATCAGATCGGAATCTACGTGTTCAAGTCCAGGTCTTGATTTGGCCTTCCAACCACACTGAATATGGGTACCACGTAGGGACAGTGGCCGTGTCCTCTGCTTTTCCTACCCCAGCTCCGCAAAAGAGAGTCACTGTGTATGCGTCCACGGGCAGCATCTCTGTCTCATGTGACACGGGGATGTGAGAAAGGCCACCACGAGAGGCAGACAGCCCTGACAGTGACATTTGTCTGCAGGGCCTCGGTTTCCCAACTAGGGACCGGTTTTCTGCCACGACCTACGTGGGGCTCCTTTGGGTTAGCGCAGGCAGGTCGTGGGTGGCTGGGGAGTGTGAGGGTTCCGCGGCCACATCTCCATATGCGGCCGGTGCTCTCAAATATCTCTTGTGCTGCAGAGAGCAGGTGGGCAAGTCGTGGACTTCTCCGGCATTTGGGACAAAGGACGGGCAGCTTCATGTAGCTGTGCTGTTGGGGGAATGTGACTGTTCGGTGTGGCTCAGCAGAGGGGACTGTTCCCACCGCTCTCGTCAGTCGGAAAGGAGCCAGACGGCTACGAGGGCTCCTTCTCTCCGGGGCCCACCTGTAACGTATGCTCACTCTTCCCAAAGTATTTACTGGATTGGTTTACTGAACAATCGCAGAGTAACTAGCACATACCAGTCACTGTTTGCGCCAGTCCTCACGTGTGGACGGAGCTAGGAGGCTGATGCTGCTGTGATGCCCGTTTCACAGATGGGGAAACCGAGGCACAGCGTACTTCCCCAAAATCAGAGCAAGGGAGCTAGGATTTGGAATCAGACGTGCCCCTCCCTCTCACCAATGACACATGGGTTTTTGACCCACCAGATCAACTCATGACGCATCTGGACAACCTCACTGTTCCCCATGCTCCCTGGAGGGGTGATTTTTCCTTATCAAAGAAAATTATCTGGAAATTTCCAGGCCCATAAGGAGCATGGAAACAGTGTGTATAAAACAGTCAATATTATAGAAATACTCACATGCCAAAATCTTATCAACATCTGAAGCATAATGCTCGCTTAATGACTTTGCAGGTGGATTTTTCCCCAAACCATTACTATTTTAATTAATGGCCTATGAGACTTGAGTGCAAAAGGCAATAATGACGCCTTGGTTATGTTTCTTATATTTTACATCAGATTCTCCGTGTCCTAAGTACAGCCTGGAAACAATAGGATAGCCCTGGAAAAAAAAAAATTGTTGAAAACTCTTTCAATTTGCAGTCCGCCTCCTGGTAAACACGACTTTCTTTCATCCGAATGTTATATTTGGCAATAAAACTATCAGATGGAAGCTCTCCTACATTTCATTTCATTGTTACCTAAATAAAGCAACCCATTAAAATCCCTCTCCTTAAAAATCAGACTCGGATCTGAACACCTCTGTCTTTATGCAATATTTCTTTAGCAAAGGGAACAGCGGAGACGTAAGGAAGGGGGGAAAAAGAAAAAAAACAAGGAAACAAACAAACAGACAAACACGCATTCTCTGTAAAATGAATACCCCTAAGAGGCTGTCTTCCGGGGACTTGCAAATCTCAGTCCCTTCCTGAGCAGGTGAGGGGTCCGTATTTCCTGGCGAGAGATCTCCCCCTTGACACAGTGAATTAACTAGTTAAAAGCTGTTCGCCTGGAGAGACACACGGTCACGGCATTTTCGGAGCGTGCAGAGCCCACGCGCGGTCCTGTGGTCGGAGCCCGGGGCAGCAGCTCCCGTAAGCTGTCCCCTCGGGCTGCTCCCAGACGAGCCGGCTCGGCGAGCTGTCCCCTCCCCGTCCCCTCCCTCCCGTGCAGCCTCCTTCCCTCTCCACCGCGTCCTGGGCAGCTCCATCCGTCCAAACGGGAGCTGAGTTTGCAGGCTGACAGGGATGCAAAGGGCTGGTGGTGCTGATGTCAGAGCCAGAAGACAGTTGTGATTGGACCTAATTAGACTTTGCAGCAGCAAATAGACAAGCTCCCTGCGTGATTGGCTTCAAAGTGGCTGGTGCCAAACAACTAGCAGACGAGCCAAAGTAGGAGCCCTGCGTTCGCCGGGAGCCCGGTCCGGAGCGGCCGCCTGGAGGAGGAGGGCAGCGGGGAGGGGGCGCACCTCCCCGCCGAGTCCTGTGGAGGAGCTGCTGCTGGCCGGGGTCCCCCCCCCCCCCCCCGCGAGCTGGGCGAGAACAGCGGGGGGGCAGGAGCGGGAGCCCGAGGCTCGTCCTGAAAAGTGAGCCCGCTCCCGGCCCGCAGGCATCCGGCAGCGCTGGGCCAGCAGCAAAGGTGAGCTGCTGGGGACCGGGTCCCCCCCGGCTCTGGCGGCTGCGTCTCGGGCCATGGCCTCGGTCCTGGGCACCAGCAGAGGGGCCGGAGGAGGGCTGAGCGGCCAACTCAAATGCAAGTCCCAGAGGAGACGACGGCGGTCCAAGAGGAAAGGTAAGGACCCTGCTTTCTGCGCTGTCTCCGCTGACCGCTCCCCCACCCCGCGTGTGGGGTCCGCCTGCTCCCGCAGCTCCACTTTCGGGGGGCTGTGGGGGGGGGGTCTGCTCCAAGCAGAGCGCCGGAGTTCGCGTCCCTTTGTAGAGGCCCCGGGGGCTCTTGCCGGCTCCGAGGGGACAGGAACGGGGTGGGGGGGGGGGGGCAGAGAGCCCGGGCTCCGCACAGCCCGGCTGGGAGCAGGGTTAGCAGGGGGAGTGGGTGCGGGGACCGGAGGACAGTCCCCTCCCCGCCTCACACAGCCTCTGACCCTCTCCGAGGCCACAGCAGCACCCGTGCCAAAGGAAACACTCGTGTGAGCCAGCAGCCCCAGAAAAGGGAGCAGACCTCATGCCAGCTTCTCCGTCCAAATCGTCTGGGAGGCAGGAGTGGGCAGGATGCTGGCGACCACGCTTCCAAACTGGCCGACGTGCCCCCTCGGTCTGCTCGGTGCTCGTGGCTCCGTAAACACTGGGACCCGCAGGCAGCACGGGCTGGTCCTGGGGTGGCTGGGGGGGGGGGGGGGAGCAGAGATTGAAACCTGGAAAGAGAAGGAGGCACGGCAGCTCGTTAGTGACAGAAACCCTGCAAACCAGGGAGGGAGGACGAGCCGCGAGCAGCGGGTGACAGGTTGTTCCCGACTCCCTGGGGGTGGCGTCTGCATTGTGGGGACCGCCGCCCTGAAGTTAGTGCATTCCGGGGCTCCGCCGGGGGCTGGGGCCCGTGCCCCAAATGCCACCGTGGGGGTGCGCGCGGTCCCGGGAGCGAGGGGGGCTGCTTCCTGAGCCTGCCCTTTCTCTCCCGGGGAGGAACTCGTTACCAGCAGCCCCTCACCATGAGTCTGCGGGAGAAAGTTCGGCTCTTCTGACGGTTTGAAATGTGTTGATTTAAGGGTGGGGGGAAAGAGTGAACACAGAGCTATTCAGAACCACGGGGCAGATGCCACTAAGATGCATCGGATTCTCTACCTCCTACCGCAGGATGCGTGCTGGAGGCTGCTCTCTGTCCCCAGAGGGTCGTCGCCTCTGCGGTGGCCTGGCAGAAGTTTCTGCCACATCTCCCCCTACCTGCCCTCAAATACCCCCGGAGCCCTTCCCGGCTTCTTCCGTGAAATCAGAAATTAGCCAGGCAAAGCGTGGAGACAGAAATGCCACCATCACACAGTCACCGATGATGGTTGCGAGTCGGGACCACGGGGAGCGGTCCCTTCCCGGGGAGGTTCCAGAGCCCTGGGCTCTGGAACTCGGCTGGGGGTGGATTCTGTGGTTCCGGCTCAACTCTCAGGGCTGCCTCGGCGATGCCCGCTGCCCACTTGGTTACCTGGAGATGCCGTTTGGGAACAGACCTGCGGGCGCCTTCCGGAGTGATGCCGACAGAAAGTGGCAGTGAAAAGGGGCGCCCCCCCCCATCACAGAATTTAATGATGACTACAACTTTTAAAAGAGGGAACAAGGAAACATTCTCTTGTAAATTGTAAGTGTTCGTGTTTCCCAGCATTGCTGTTTAGTCTACTTACATATTAAAATTGAAGAGTGGGGGTAATATTTCACAATAAAACGGCATTCTACAGAAATAAGATACAAGCTGATGGACGCGGGAGCCTTTCTCCAAATTCATTTTTCTTACCTTTAAATGTCAGCCATGCTGGCTTAGAAAGCATCCAATTTGGAGAAGAACAACAAGAAACCGGAAGGAAGGCTTCATTTGCTGTAAACTTAACTAGAACAGTTCAAAGTGGAATTTCTGTGTGAAATATTCCCATGCCTTGGCTTTTTCGAAGAAACCAGGTCTCTTAATTTTCGTGCCCCAAAACCGAGGTGGGAAAGGCTGATGTGTATGCGTGTGCTAACTCCTAGTGCTCGTAGGTTTATGTGTGGGGGTGAAATCTCTTGTGGCGTCTGCGGACAGCGGCCTTGGTAGGGCAGTCAGCTCAAACTGTAAATATTCACATCGTAGGGGAGAGTTAACAAGATGACCGTAAGTGGGAAAATCAAAAGAAAACATAGCAATTACGGGACACGTTAATTCATCATTTGCACGTGCTGGGAATAGGTCAGTTTCTGTGTAATTCTGTAGATCCTCGTTTTTCTCTTCTACCAAGAAAAACGGGGAATTTAAATTGCGTTCTGACAGTCATGACTCCCGGCGACAGCCTTTGAGAGCAGTGGCCTCGGCTTTTGAGCTCACCCACTTAAAACTCTGTGTTTGTCACAATTGTAAACCCACGTGCGTATCGATGGTTGTTAAGGAATGTGTCTAGGGCTCTACTGTGTACTAACTAGAGCCACCGACTGGGAGCACAAAGAAAGAGCCCGTCTCGTACGGGAGGAGCTAAATCGGAATAAACGTGAGGCTTACTTGCCAATGGTATGTCTTTTTCCACCTATTCTAATGAACAGGGGTGATTTTTGAAGACACATCTTAACTTTCGGCTCCCCGGGCTGTGAAAAGCTATCAGTGTTCTGTGTGTAAACTCCAGAAGTGCTCTGATACATTTTTTTTTTTTACGTCACTTATTATTGTCAACATAATCCGTGGGCTTTGAAATAAAAACTATAGCTACAGTTTAAGTGTGAGATTCATACCACGCTCTCATTACCACGAAATGTGATCCAGAGCCTCAGAAATCAAACGTTTTCCCGTACTCCGTGTTTTCAGGCACCGTAGGCAGTATAGATCTTTAAGAATCCAAAAAACTAAAACATGAAAACGGCACCAACAACTTGGTCCCAGGTATTAACAAGCCGGGACCTGCAGGTCTCCCCCAGATGAACCTTAAAGAAGAGGTTCAGAGGTTCAGAGTAGACCCACCCACCCACCCAGCCGTCTCTCTCCATTCTCTCATCAGGACCCCGTATGATGCATTTTTGCATTTTCTCTCTGTGTCGCTTTTTAGTCGGGACTTTGTCTTAGACATTATTTATGAACAATTTACATTTTCTGTACAAGTGAAAAAATGTCAAAATTTGAGTTTTGAGGAGGAGAAAAATAGGCAGCTGGAAAAAAAAGCACCGTGCAAAGGACAGGGAAGCCGTGTAATTTTTACACGTGTGGCTACAGCTGCTCACAAGCCGTGTAACATGGGGGAGACGTGTCAGCTTGCTGTCAGAAAATACCGGGAGCACTCGGAGTTTACGGAGTTTATTCATCAACTCGGCACCCACTCAGCTCACTGCTCGCGGGGGATTCTGAGAGTCGACACTTTGTTCTGTACTTGGCAGTGGGATTATTCGAGGCGATCGCACACCAGCAGATCTGTGCTGGGTGCTCCGAGCGATGTCCCCCGTACTCGAGAAGGACTAGATGCGTGAATATTATGGAAGGTCTGTGTTTTAGCCCAAAATAATAAAGGCGAAGGTTGAAGGTTATTTAAAATCGGTACCGACTGAGCCAGGTGGAGTAGGCAGAGTCAGTATTCATGGAAACAGTATAATATGTAAGCATAAATCACTTCAAATTTTATCAGATAGCCCTCAACCAGTGGCTGCATTCCGGGTGACGTGTCTGAGGAATGTCATAGGTATATTTTCAATCATTAAAACAGGACCTGTATCCTGACGTGGATTTCTGCCATTCTCTCTTTCGCGACTGTAGCTGTCCTGAAGGCACGCATCAGCATGAAATGCATTTTGCAAAGAAAATATTTTTAGTATTTGACAATGAGCACATACAGCGTGTAAAAATGACTCAAGTTTGTGGAAATTTTTCAAGAACTGTTCTTTCGATGCAAAACGTATTTGCAGTTGGATGGAGAGCCCATGCAAATTCAGCTGGTTCCGAGAGGTAAACGGGAGGACGGGGTTCTGAGCCAGGGGAGTCAGTCACCAGACGGAGAAAGGGAGGGAACTTTGGAGAGCTATCGCAAGGCTCTATAAACAACCATTTGTTAAGTCAACAAAGCCGATTCGGTCATCAGCACATGACCTTTCTTTTTTTCTTTTTTTTTTTTTTTTTTTTTTTTTTTTGAGGCATTTGACAGCAAAAGAAGTTAATGCCAGAAATGTAGATGTTGTTACAGGGCGATCCTTACACACAGTCTCAGAAACACTGAAGGTGATTCTTGGAAACAGCAACACGAGATGTTGCTGAGTGACAGTGAGCTGATGAATCACAGGAAGATAGGGTGGGAGCAAGGGCCGGCCACTGAATGTCGTGAAATGCAAATAAAAAGTTGGCAAACAGAGCAGAATGAGGGCAGCGGGCGGATGATAGGCACGGGCTTGGTGTGAACCGGGATCCCGTGAAAAATTAACACAACACAAAGATCGCGTGTGGATGAGGCTCTCCGTCCCCAGCGATGCCCGAGTGACACATGAGTGTGCCTCAGCCTGGCTGGTGGGGACACAGCTCCGCACCCCGGCCGCGCGTCCCCGTGCCCCCGCCTGCCTCGCCGTCTGACGGCTCGGGAGGAAGGAGACTGCGTTTCGTGATAAAATTAAGTTGATTAAACCATTCACCATCCTCTAATTGTGTAGCGCTTTTTTCCCTCTTTCTCTCTTTAAAATTTGTGTTAGTACCTCTGGCTTCTAGTGACCCGTGTAATAGCAGTAATTTGAGATTGCTTCGAGGGCATTAGATATGATGAGTGAACTTGAATTTAGAATAAAAATATGAGATTCATGTATCCGTATCTAAATAGTGGTGATTCAGTTACCGCAGAAGCACTGTCCCAGAGGAGCATTATGTAAGGAAATGCAGAATGAGGAAATTGTGTTTTTCTGATCTGAGGCAGGGGAAGATAAGTTATGCTCCGAAAGCATTCAGGGTCCAATTTAAAAGCCATATGTGTGTTTGTTGTTCCTAGCTGTACCTGCATACGTCGTAAAGGCAGTTGAAGTATTTGAGCATTTTTTATGTCTGCCTGCTTCTTCTCCTAAAATGCTGGGGGATGAATGTTGGTGTTTTCATAACACGAACAATTTTAAACAATTCGTAAAACAAAAATCATTACATTACTCGGT